ATTCCGTCCATTTAAGAAATCGTTGAATAAAGGACTAAGGAGGGAGAAAAGCAACAGAGAAGTTAATGGCAGCAGAAAAATAAAGATATAATAATAACGATTGGCTTTTTTTTTTTTTTCTTTGAGAACCTGCCAGGGTCTGCAATCTGCCTTTTACTGGCATCATCTCCTGGGATCCTCCCAATCTCCCCATTCTCCAGCTGAGGAAGCTGAGGCTGTGAGGGACTCATGAATGTACTCAAGGCAACACAGCCAGGAAATGACTCAGAAGTCTGTGCCCTTAACTGCTCAGTATCAAATTGCCCTGGAGGGTTAAAAGCCCAGGCTTTGTGGTTCAAAATGGCCCTAGGTTCATACCTCACACATGACCTCAAGGCAATGTCCTAGAAAATTTCAGAATCTGTGGCCTCACTCTCTGGTTGTTGTAAGGCTTCACTCCAGTGATAAAGGATGGATGCCCAATTAAGGGCTCAATGGTGCAGCTGGAGGGTCACACTATGGAAAGGAGGTTTGCTCCAACAAGCCCCAAACTTTGCAGTGGCTCTGGCTTTAAGCCCTGGCTCTGGTAGATCCACCTGAGCTCACTGTCCCTTCTCCATTTCCCCACCTAAAACACAGGGCTGGACCTCACTTTAGGAGAGGCCTAAGAGAGAACCCCCTAAAGCCCTGCTCTCCGATTCGCCACATACAGCTGAAGCCATATGTGCTGCGGGTGTAACAGACGCAGGATTTGGAAGACTTTGTACCAAAAAAGCGAGTAAAATAACTCAGGAATGTTTTTACTGGTTACATGTTGAAATGTTAATATTTTGCACCTGTTGGGCTAAAAGTACTGTATTGTTAAAATTAATTTCAGCTGTTTATCTTGTTTAATGTGGCTACTAGAACATTTTTAATTGCTTCTGAGGCTCACATCATATTTCTATTGGACTGTGCGGCCTTAGACGCCGCAGGGAGGTGAGTCCTGCTTATTTCCTGCCCAAAGGTGGCTTCCCAAGGCCTCGGGGGTCTCACCGAGAGTGGCTGAGCCTACCAAGATGGGGGGGCCTGTTTCTCCCCAATCTGCTGCTCAGCCACAGCTCAGGCGGCAGGGAGCAGCCACCTGCGCGGATTGCGACCCTTCCAGAGGGCGATCTGGAGGGTGACCTTGTGGCCGTGGGCATCTGGCAAATTGGGTTTCCCCTGCGCCCCTTCCCGCAGCCTAAGGGGTCAGGCGGTTGGTGCGCGTTCCCAGCGCAACTCCGGGACCAGGAAACGGAGGGGGGGGCGACCACGTGGCCTGCCCAAGGTCACCCAGGCCAGCCCGACTCCACGCGGCCCCGCCCGCGCCCTCCCCGCCCCCAGCCGCGCCGGGACCGGGATGTACTTGGCGCTCGTTGATCCAGAAGCGCACGTTGGGCTCAACAAAGTAGGCGCCGGCGTCGCTGCCTCCTAGGAGCCGCCCGGGCTGCGCTTCCTCCTCCTGCTCCAGGGACATTTTGTGCTGGTTGGAGTGGCTGCGGCTGCCGCTGCTGCTGCCGCCGTCGCTGCTGGGCTGCGCGCGGAGGAGGAGCCAGGCGGCGAGCCCCGCCCCAGGCCGCGCGCATCCGCAGTTCCCGCCCCAGGCCCGCGCGCCCGACAGCCCGTGTCTCCGCGCCTGGAGGCCCTTGCGCGCCCACTGTTCCGGCGAGCCCAGCTCTCCCACGGGCCAAGTCCACCCAACCCTCCTTGCCCTGCCCTGCACCTCTGGGGAGCCGGGCCGCCTCCAGGCCCCGAGGGGGTCACTATCGGAACCCCACATCACAGTACCTAATGCGAAGACCCGGAAAGGTTGCGAGTGGGGCCCTCAGCAACCTGACCCTGAGGTCCTGCCGCGCCCTTCCCGTGGTCATTACCCTCGAAAATTCCTCCCATTGCCCGCGAATTCCGGTGTGCCTGGTGTTGCTGTCAGGCCGGCTGCGTCAAGTGCTCAGCCCAGAGAAAAGGTCAAATGCGATGCCCTTATTCAAGTTACCGAGAATTTCAAGAGAGTAACAGCAGAGCATCAAATCAAGTACAGGGCCCTGGGTACAGTGCACTATCTCTCAGCCCGACAGGTTTTTTTTTCCAGTGTTGGGGCAAATCCAGTTCCTTTTGTTGAGTACCAGGTCAAGTAGGGACCATTTGTAAAGAAAAATCCGCCTTCCCTTCCTCCTCCCACCTGCCCTTCCCTAGCACCGGAGAGGGTGGGAGCTGTGTGTGAGCACTTGAATTCACGGAAGCCGCAGGGTGCTTAGGGTATTCAGGCGGCCTCCGGAGTCCTGGTCTAGGGGTCCCAGGACACCACCAAGTTGTGTGCCCTTGGCTAAGTCAGTATCTTTTTTTTTTTTTTTTTTTTTTTTTTTGAGACGG